GCAATTCGTCGCCTCTTGTGGGTCCCGGATGGGTAACATCGGCACCCAGAACCATGACAAGCTCGTCATTCCTTCTCAGATCGCTGACAACCCAATTAACGCCACCCAGTTTTCCGTTGATTTTCAACAAGAGGTTGGCTAACAGAAAAGAGGAGGTTTAAGTTTGCAAAAATAAGAATTCCGTGATAAGGATCAGATATCATGAGTTTGTGTGTGTTCGCCGACGTTCCGGACAGCTGGGTAGGCTCTCCTTTGTCAAAGCGTAAACTGCCGTTATCGATCAGTAATGTAAAACTGTGGTTGTATGCGACGGCCCTGGCCTTATCGATTTTCCTTCATTCGCTGTCTGGCCCCTGGATTTCGGCATAGGTTGATAGCAGTTGGTGCAGCGCTGGGTCTTCATGGTAAAGGAAATTGGTAACCCTGCTCCCTCTTCCGGCGAGTTCGGTACGGGACCGCCATCGCTTGCCATTCTAAAGTTCGCTTTGACCTTGTCCTGTCCTCTACTCACTTAATGACGTAGAATTTTGTAGGCCGCGGGAAGGTCTAGATGCCTGTTGACGGAGTACCATGACTAAAGCATCAATCTTTACGCTTTTGAGGTTCCCCAACCTACGATTGTCGATCCTTATATATCGAAGATGTGGCCAGACTCTCTGATGTGTGCTGCAAGCTGTGAGTTTTGGTCAAGTCTCCAAAAAGTGAAATAAAACTGGCAGAAGACAAATAAGAAAAAGGACTCCCGCTGCTGCTGCTGCTACTGCCCTGAACAGACTTTTATTTATTAAGTTGGTTAATTATTATTTATTAGTAATTTATTATTACTTATTTATTATTAGTATTATTTATTTATTATTATTAAAATCAAATTTGACATGCAGAGTAAACAAGATGAGAACTTACGGAATACATTGGGTTTCCCCAGTGTTTGGAACTTCACACATTGAGTTTTTAGGCCCACTTCTATATCACCGAGACGCTTGATTTCAGAATAGCATCGGGTATCATAGAGAACAAAGATAGCCAGTTGCACGCCCTAAAACAGTGGGAAAGCACAAAAGTTGTCAAACATATCCTTGGTAGCTGGTACAATAAGGAACATTGGTTGTGGCGGAGGAGAATGAAGTCAGATTTCAGCAACGCCAGTGAGTGTAGTGTTAACTATTGAGGTCAGGTCAGGTTTTGTTGAGAGAAATATAGGTAAATACCTTTGAACTCCCTATTGGTACAGGACAGTTTTTCAATGCATTTGATCAGCAGAACATTTCAGAACAGTGGCGTTGCCAGTCATTTGAATTTGAGTTATTAAAAAAAACATTTGTTTCTCGATGCTCATGGTGGACGCACAGCCGTCAGAGGTACTGTAACAGGCTAGCAGCTTACGTTTTATTTGTTTAACTGCTAACATACTGAACTACCTGACTTTTATTGTCCTGTTTTTGTTTGCGTAAAGTAACGGCGCGTGAGCGCGAAGAGGGGGCTCAGGGTGGATAAACAGAACTCACAGTATCGAGAGATTAGAACATGGAAGTGTGGAGAACTGAAATGGACGACTACCTTTATTGTTCAGAAACGTTGTCGTTCTTTTGTTTCCTATATCTGGGGTTGCCTATTTGGGCAAAAGCAGCTTCCATGAAACACACTTTAACGGATGCGTTCGCAGACACACAGAAGAAGACCGAGTAGTAGTCCTGATACACTGAAAATAGGGGCAACAGTAGCTTATGTAGGC